ATACACACACACACACACATACAGCTCGCTGGGGCTAAGTTAGGAGGTCCAGACGTTGGGTGTATATGCAGCAACCCGCACCGCTGACGATTCCCGATCAAGTTTACTGCTCCGTTAACTGGAACTTATCATTCCTTCCGGTAGAACCAAACGCCAACTAAGCAACAATCTATCAAGCCACTTAAGATTCCCTCCGTCCTTAACCCCGTCGGACTGACTCCTTTAATCCCACGTCAAAGCACCCGCGACTGGAACTCGCCGAATCCTTCAGTAGTATGACTCTGCACGTCAATCCGGAAATCAGTCTTATCTCCGGGAAGATCACGCGCTGCAACCTCACTGTACAGTACATGCAGCGTTGTGAATTCCATTCCTCCTCTCCCTCAGGAACAGTCATTGTAAAAAGAACGGTATCTAGGACTCGCAAAACCATACTAGGTAGTAGTCTAGAAAATACAGACACCGCGCAACTGTAGTGGGGCCTAGTATGTACCTAGCCATGGATGCAGCAAAAAAAAAAAAAGGGGGGGGGAAGAGGGGGGGTTCCTATCGAGATAAGTCTAGATTTCAACGGAGTACACCCGAAGGAGAATTCATTCCTTTCTTCCTTCCTTCCTATCCACCCAGATCAGACTCATTACAACCCAGTATTTCAATGAGGGTCCTTGTGCCGACACGGTGGGGAGGACGGTCCTAAGAACCATACTACGTACGTACGTACATGCACTCCCTCAAACACGGCGGTGGTAGTTAAGTTACCCATAGTTAGTTAGCTAAGACCACCGGGTCCTTATTCACGTTTCACCCCACGTCGGACTGTACTGTGCACTATGTCCAGGCACCAGGCAGTGAACTATCTGTTAAGCCAGCTAGCTCTATTATGTAGTTTCGGGATTCGACTGCACTGCAGGGCGGGACTCCGTGCTCCCCTGCTACCTGACCATGGGACGTTGCACCTTGAGCAATAGTGTGAGTTGGTACGAGTTAATGGAAACCGACTACCTTCCCATGGACTAGGTATGAGGAGCTGAGGTAGCCCAGGAGTACCAACCGAGTATTCAGGGTGCCCTTCGTATCGAATCCGAAGCTCAATCGGCAACGCACCAATCGACGCAACCACTAACCTACCAGGTTAATATCGTCCGATTAGTCATCGGCACAGGCAGCCGCCAGAAACACGCACGGGCCACCACCGCAGCCCTGAGGAGCAAGTCCACTAGGGACCTAGGGCACCGCGTAGTCTTTAGCCAGTCCAGTGCCAGTAGCTTAGCTCAGCCAATTGCAGGACAGGGAGATGAGGAAGGATCTTTGCTGGTGAACAACCAGTCACTCAGATAGTAGTTGATAGTATCCCTTAAAGCTCTGGCACCTGGGGTAATTTGTCTACGCGACTGAGGACCGGGACTGTGAAGCGCCTGGTCCTACACGGTTCCGTACGGTGGTCCTCCCCGCGATGGACAATGTTGCGCCAAGGTGTGAAACGCCGCGACCTGCACGCTGTCCTTGATTTCTCGGGATCCCCGTGCATGCGGCCCTGGGGGATCGGCGCCCTGGACGGAGTAGCGGGCGCTGGCAATCTGGACTCTAGCTTGCGTTGCGAGAAATCAATCGATGGGTTTGATATAGAGCAAGCAGTATGGCGGTGTGGGCGGGGATCCACTGTCGATCTTGAAGACGGTTGGGGTGGATGGGTGGTGTTAATTTGCCCTGTGGGGTTGTAGGTTGTTTTACTCAATGGTCCTGTCCTTTGGTGATTCCAACTTCGTTTTAGACGGATCACCCCCGCTAATCTAACGCTTGTCGTGATCATTTAGGAAATTCTCATGATAGAACAAGATGCCATGTAGTGCAAGGTGCATCACCTCCCGCCGGTACCCATCATCGGGAGCCGGCGATGATGCAGTAAATGGTCCAGATGAATTCGAAGCTATGTGATCGCTGCAGACATAACCATGCTAGATATGAAAACGAGTAGCCCAAGCTTAGACCTATCCTTACACCAAGCATAGAGCGTGAACTGGGGTCTCCAGACAATGATTCCGTGCGGGGTCCCGCCCACCAATACAGTAGTCCCAATTCACAACGAACGCCACGGTCGCTTGTCCTCCACCAGACACCACAAAAATCGCTGCAAAACGCCGGAAAATGCTTAGTCGTTGTAGTAAATCATGAGCTGTCTTCGAGGACATGGCCATTGGCGGCATCTTTGCGCTGCCTCAGCGTGTCAATGGCTTTGCCGACTTCGTCTTTGGCCACCCCTTCCAGAGAGGCTCTGGCATCGGGCTCGAGAGTTTCAACGTCACCCACCCGCTCGTAGAGCATCCGGGAAATACTCCGGTTGATGTCGGTGTATTCATCTTTGGAAACAAGCTTCGAGCGATAGTAGGGTTTCAGTTCAGAAACTACAAGCTTTTGAACGGCCGACTTGACCGCGGATGACGGCCCTGACGGCCCCGAGCGAGAAGGGGAGGCATGGAGCGAACGTAGGGCTGCTGAGCGAGCTGCAGCCCGGGGAATCCGACGATTCCAGCGAGGGGGAGGGGTATGACGTGGGGACTGATCTTCATGGCGATCTTTGTCCGAGGCAATTGGAGAGACGTCCGGGGAGAACGGTGGGGATGAAGGGTCTGCAGGCGACCCGAGTTGTAGAGGTGATACTGGTCTGTTTCTGCCATGTGGAGGCGGCGTTGTAGAAGACATCCGTGGAGAGGAGTGGTTAGAGGGAGCAGGCGAGATGGAAGGGGAGGTTAGGCCAGGCGTGAAGTGATCGGTCGGGGCGATAGAAGAATGGGCTGATGGACCATGTGAATTGACGCCATTGTGAGTAGACGATGACTCCACCTCTTTCAGAAGCGATTGGAGGAAACTCGGCTCGCTCGAAGGTTCGGCATTGATCCGAGCAGTGGCCTGTGCACTTGCAGCCCGCGATGACTCCCCGTTCTGCATAGCAAGAGCCGCCAAGTCTTCGGCCCTTCGAGTCCGAGGTCGCTTGAGCTTGCGTGCAGGCTCAGTAGGCTCCGGGGATGGGGACATGGTAGGTTCTTTACGTTTCCTTGCCGCACTCGGATTGTTCTCAATTTCTCGGGCACGCTCGAATGCATTCCACGCTCTCATTTCCTCAAGCGACTCTGGCTCGGGGGTGGGCTCGCGAGGTACGCGGGGCCGCGATGGCCGAGGGGCCTCGATATCGAGCAAGGCCGCGGTATCCCGAAAGCGGTTGCTACCACCCTGCCGTTCAGCAACTTCAAAACGACGCTGCCATGCGCGAAACTCACGCTGATTGGCTTCTTCCCGTCGTTGCTGCTGACGAGCACGCTCCAACGCCCTGTCATCATCGAAGGGGAAATCCAAGTCAATGTTCAAGTGATCCCAAACAGACTGCCATACCCTTGCCCAATGTAGGGAGTTTAGCTGATTTCTGCTCTGTAGCATTCGCTGCTGTGCTCTCGTACGGCGATTCCGTCTATCCTGCGGTCGGGAACCCCTGTCAGTCGTCTCAGGGGAGCGTCCGAGACGACGTTGGTTCTCACACCGTGCACAATACCAGGGCCCACTGGGCACCTCGTCGAGACCGACACAGTAGGTATGTGAGGGTGCATCACAACCATCGCAAAGAAGAAGCAAATCTTCGTTGTCCGCATCACCGCAGACAGGACAAGGCTGGAAGTCGATGAAGTCATCATCAATATACTCGATAACCATCGAAGGATCGACCTCGGCGACTTGGGTTCGATCCTGGACGGCATATGACGAGATGACAGGACCTGTATTATGGGAAGTCGATATGTTAGCCAGGGAGAACGGCCACACGGTGTAGAACGATATCCAGGGGATTCAATGGTGGTTTGGAGGGGGGTGATAAGGACTTACCGCCGGGGCGATCACTTAGTTCGACTACATTGAAACTCCGCCGGCAGATCGGACAGCTGTTGGCCCGTTCTACCCATGGTTTGAGGCAGTTGTTGTGCAAAATGTGACCACAAGGTAGCAACTGGGCGATTTGACCGGGATCCTCATTGCCATCGACACCATCGACCTTGCTGGCAATGTTGGCAACGTTGGCCGACCTGGTCTCTGGCTCGAGGTCAAGTCTTGGCGCGGCCTCGGCGGCGACGGCAAGAGGATCGCTGGCGCTTTCGCCAAGGTCTCCTAAGCACACAATACAAGTGTCGGACATTAACAGAAGGGGAGATTTCAGAGGTGTCTGCAGGAACGCTGAGAGAAGGCATGAAGAGAACTTAAAGGAAAGAAAATAGGAAAGTTTTGAGATGTAGAAAGAGAAGGGGAGGGGGGAGGGAGGAGGTCAGGTCGAGTGATGTGGGGAGAAAGCAACCGGCCTTTTGAAGGTGGACCGCCAATCCGATCTAACGCAAAGCAGGCTGGAGCCCAACGTGACCATGACCCCCAGAGCCAATCACTCCCTCCAGAAAACGGCAAAAGCAGGCTTAGTCAGTCGTTGGGATGATGGCTTCGAGAAATGCCCTGGCCCTTGCAGCACCAGCAGGCGCACCAGCAGAAGCACCAGCAGGAGCACTAGCAGGAAAGCAGTCACAGTAAGCAAAGCAGCTGAAATTGATTCATACAGACCACGTTTCCCCCTTCCCCTCATTCCATTTGTTCTGTGGTGAATCAACTCTATCCTCCGATAAAGTGTAGACCGCCTCCTTGCCCTGCCCCTGGGATTGATTTAAAGTTAGTAGCGATCTATCGCACCTCGTGTGTGGTTATGTGAAAGTAGCATGTCTGGCGACCGCGTTTTCTGGTATTTGGTCGCAGGAATAGAAACTCTACGAAGAGGTGCATCCATACGATGCAAATACTGATCGCTGACCGGGTTAGGGGATCATGATCAGACAAGGAGATCAAACCACCCACAAAAACAGCAACCCTCAGCAATGTGAACAGCGCATATCGTATCGAGAATTGAAGATTCCGTCGAGAGGATTTCGCCGCACGAGACGTGCTCTTAAGGGTTTGAGGTCCCTCACATGCTGGGCAGCCACGAAGTCCCCGTTAGAAAGGAGGATCACAAGTTCTCAACCCCAAAAACCGAGAAACCAGAGGTCATACGAGGACATTGCAGAGAGTTGGCACGATTCGAAGGGTGTGACTCGAAGACTAAGATTGGTACCGCGAATGACCTGGTATCACCGATTGCATTTTTAAGTCTAGAAGGGGAAGTCTTAAATCGAGGACGAATTCGGTGCTAACAACATCGGGGTAACGACGTTCGGAAACGAGAAGAGCGCTCATAAGAAGTTTTCCAGATCTTAATTTGGCATTTTTTTATTTCAAACGTAAAGAAAAGGAAATCCCATCATCACATTTAGACCTCCGCGATTTCTCTGAGACGGCGGATAGTGGAGCGGGTGGCAGCGGCGGCGGGGGTACTGTGTTACAAACGTCCAGCGATCAGCAATCGTGTCACTTCTTGGAGGCTGCGAGGGGCCCAGTCTGGCTGGTTCGGGTCGACAAGTCGACAAGATGGCGGGACTTACGAGACGGTGTAGGCACCACCGGCAACGGTCTTTTTGCAGCCCTTGCACTCCCAGATACCAACAGCCTGGCGCTTGACGGTGTTCTTTCCGCAGAAGGTGCAGACGTAACGGGCGTGCTGGGACACTTCCATCTTCTTCACCTGCTTACGCAGGGAGGCACCGTATCTATTATCATGCCATCGTCAATATACATTTCGTGTCACGGTGCGAAGGATTTCGACATGTCGTTTGCTCGATAATCATCGGTCGGTTTGTTGTCGCGGTCGAGGCTTTTCGAAATTTTTTTCTGAGGGGTTCGGAGTGGAAGGGCGCGAGTGCCTACCTGGTACCATATTTACCGGTGATGCCGACCTCTGCAATATCCAGTCAGTAATTAATTCAAAAGGCCAAATTCGCATTCGTCTCGCGCAGAGATTCGAGGGTATACACATACTCTTAGTGCGCTTCGTCATCTTGGCTGGATCCGGCTGTTGAGGTCGAAGATGGATACAGTGCGGTAAGTCGAAATCGAGACGTGAGTCTTTCTAGTCGGGAGTGGTTGTGGGCGGGCTCGCTTAGGGCTGCACCTAGAGTCACGTGAGCCGCATCATACTTGGGCTGCCTCTAGGAGAGCATCGATTCGAGTATGCAGGTTATTAGACAGGGAGGATCATCGAAATCTACTTTTACCGCATTCTCAAGTCTTCTTTTCTATTTGACCTTTTTTTCCTTCCTCTTTATGACTCTTCTGGCCGCGTTACTGTGCGCGCATATTCTGCAAGAGTCGTGATGACATAATAAATCCACGGGTTCGAGCTTATGTAATTCGCCCTGCATAACTTGCCATCAAGGTGCTGACACTTCGCTTACGAGTATTGTGCACCCATGCTATTGGGTTAGGAAAGTGACAGCTACCTATGAAGTTCTCATAGTAACTACTGTAATACATTCTATCAGCTTCTGTAGAGCGAAGGTCAGGTCCCCAAATGAGGGGCATATAAGTATCCGATCACATGCATGGGGCAGGGCAGACTGATCTTTGGTATGTCTGGATCCGGTTAGTCCAGTCCAGTACTCCGTGCTACCACCGACCTGGCCGGAACCGAGCAACCTCAGGCAAGCCATCCCTAGTTGTATAAACTCCGTTGCATGCGCGCATCAGGGTGCAGCAATTTCTTTTGAACAACTAAATCACTGCCTCCGGCTGCGTACTTCGGTCTACAAACTGTCATCTCAAATCATAAGTATTATCGATAGTAACAACCCACCACGCCGAGATGGAGTCTCAGAGAGAGTACGACATCATTCTCCTCGGCCCCACTGGTTACACAGGACGCTTCTGTGTCCAGCATATCGTCAAGCACCTGCCGACCAACCTGAAATGGGCAGTGGGAGGACGCTCTCAGCCCAAGCTTGAGCAGGCCGTCAAGGACTTGAAGGCTCTGAATCCTGATCGCAAAGATCCTGGTACTGTACCGCGGCTACACGCCTCTTCGCATGTTAATGGATTGTAGATATCATTACTGTGCAGCTCAATAAAGAAGAGCTTGCCCCGCTGGTACGCAGGACGAGGGTCATCATCAACTGCGTGGGTCCATACTGTTTGTACTCGACGCCGGTGGTCGAAGCCTGCGCCAGCAATGGGACACATTATGTCGATGCGTCGGTTTCTCTTTGTCTCCCGTTTGGTCTCCTATACTGACTGAGCCACCATGTAGAACCGGAGAAACTCCCTGGGTGAAGACGATTGTCGAGGAATACCATGAAACAGCCAAGTCGAACGGCGCCGTTGTACGTCTTGCTCGCGTCTGCTCTCCATAACACCACCCTCTCTAATCACATCTCAACAACTACAGATCATCCCCTCCGTCGGAATCGAAAGCGCCCCCGCAGACATGCTGGCCTGGGCTCTTGTCAAACGCATCCGCGAGGACCTCGCCTGCGACACCAAGGAAGTCGTTTCCGCCATCCACGAGATGAAGTACGTAGCAACCCAAACCCCCACTGCACTACCCGACTTCCTTACTAACCCGACCACCAGATCCTCCGGCGCAAGCGGCGGCACCCTCAGCACAATCCTCACCGTCTTCGACACCCTGTCCTTCGCCGACATCGCCAAATCCGCCAACCCCTTCGCGCTCGCCGCCGCGCCACCCCCAGCCAACGTACCCCGCGAGCCCCTCCTCGCCCAACTCTCCGGCGTCCGGTACGTGCCCGACCTGGGGCCGCTGACGACCTCGCCGTCCGGCCTCGCGGACGTCAACGTCGTGCACCGCAGCAGCTCGCTGATGCCGGAGTTCTACGGGCCCCGCTTCCACTTCCGGCAATTCCTGCGCGTGCGCAACGCGCTCGTCGGGGTGTTCGTCCACTATGCATTTCTGGCCGTGATCTCGCTGCTGATCTTCGCGCCGGTCCGCGCCCTGGTCCGGCGGTACGTCTACCAGCCCGGCGCGGGGCCCACGGCCGAGGCGTCGGTGAACGACCACCTCGAATATCGGGCCGTGGCGACGGCGGATCAACCTGTGGCGCCGAAGCGGGCGTTCGGCAAGTTGCGGTACCAGGGGGGTTGTTATGAGTTCACGGGGCTGAGCTTGGCGGAGGCGGCGATGGTGATTCTGGAGAATGAGGAGAAGGTCAAGCGGGTTTCGCGGGGTGGGATCGTGACGACGGCGGTGCTGGGGCAGGAGTTGCTGGATCGGTGGGAGAAGGTTGGGTGTCGGGTGGAGACGCAGGTCTTTGAGCATTAGCTTCGCTTTGTTACAATTTTGTTTATTGTATGATCATCTTTGTGGTATCTGTATGTTTTTCATCTTCTGTATGTGAATCTTATGACGCAGTCACTTGGAACACAATCAAACCTAACCAGTAAGTATCCAGCAAACCCAGGGAATCAGTCCAGCAATTCCCCACCCATCACAAGCCCAAAACCCCCTCAAGCAATACAATACTCCGAACGGTAGACCTCACAACCGCGACAACCCGGCCCTCCCAAAGACGACCTCCTCCAACCACCAGGCAATAATCTCATTGACCTCCTCGGGCTTCTGCCACAGCGCCCAGTGGCCCGTGTTCACCTGCTTGTAGGTCAAATGCGGGATCGTCCTGGTCATGCCGCCGCCGAGATTAGGCGGCAGGGCGGGATCCTTGAGGGCCTGGATGAAGAGCAACGGAGCGGTGATGCGGCGGTTGAGGATGGCCAGTTCGTCCTCGTAGTTGATCTTGCGGGTGCGGTACCAGTTTACTGTTTACCCCGGATTAGCATGGACCTTCCACCTGAGCCATCCACTCATACCGAAAGGTAGGATAAGGGGGGGGGGGAGGTGGGGGGAGGGGGGACATACAAGGTCCGCGAAGCCCATTCCGCGCAAACTCGGTAGCGTAGTACTCCAGTTCCTGTACATCCACGCAGACACAGTTAGCATCGCACCACCACCACCCTGCCCTGCCCCAATCCCTTCCCCCCCGACGATAAGGAATGGGAAAAACCGACCACCTCACTCAACAACCCCGACCCGGCCACCTTCTCCAACCGATCCCACAGCACCCCGACCTCGGCATCGAACGCGACGCTCCGCTCCTCGTCCGCCGTGCGCCCGCCGTACAGCGCCGACAGGAACCGCGCGATCGCGTCTGTGGTGCGCAGATTCCGCTCCAGCGCCCGGCCCCGGAACTGCAGCTGGTAGCCGAAGTGCGGCGCGATGCGGCGCTCCGTCAGTGCCTCGAGCGACAGGTACTTGCGCGTGGGCGGCGCGTACGGCACGCAGACGGTGAAGACGTGCGAGACCAGCGTCGGGTGCCAGAGGGCGACGCGGTAGGCTAGGGCGGCGCCCCTTCACTCCGTCGCTTTGTGTTAGCTAAGGTGATCGGAATAGAGTGGGGGTATGGTTGGGGGGTTAGGGGCGGTACCAGTCGTGTCCGCCGAGGATGATCTGCTGGGCGTCGAGGTGGGCGGCGAGTTCTTTGATGTCGTTGGCGCAGTTGCGGTGCGAGTAGAGGTGGATGCTTTCGGGGGCGTCCTGGTTTGGATATTTAGTGATTGGGGTGTTTGGTGGCGGTGGTGTAGTGGTGGATGAGTTCATACGGTCTGTCCGTAGCCCAGACAATCTGGGGCTACTACTCTCAACCCCATGTCGATGAGCATGGGGATCTGGTAGCGCCATCCCATGGAGAGGTCGGGGAAGCCATGGAGCTGTTGTGCAATTCAGTTTAGGTTGGTATACTCCAATTTGACCTTTCTGGTTTACACTGGCAGGGCGCATGATACTCACCAGGAAAATGGTGGCGCGGTATACTCCCGACTCCGGCTCGCTATACAAGTAGCCTGGCAATATATGTATGCATCAGCCTCGGTGCGTCTATCGCTCAACCACCGGATAAGTGCAAGCAGTGCGGTACGCAGGTGTCGGATGTCGCATATCGAAGCAATTGACCACCAAGCAACCAAAATATGCATAAGTTTCTCACATACTGTATGTGTTGCCATTGAGGGTGGCAGAGCGGCGCTCGACTCGCGAGTCGCCGGTGACGTCGATCTTGTCCACCGCCATTTCTGGACACCACCAACAAAAGGTCGGTTTTATGCGGCGAGTACAACTACTTTTGCAAGGACAGTCAAAGACAATTGAATTAGCAGAACGTAGAAAATAACTGGGCGAAGAGAGCAGAATCTGCCATACCGACTTTCGGTTTAATCTAATAAATGGTACCTGATGGAGACTCCCCGCCAGCTGTTCATCACGTGAAACTGAAGCTATATTTAATTCCAGAAGCACCGCGAGGCTGGGCCAGTGGAGTTGGGCACGCGACGGGAGGCTTCGCTCAGTCTGTTTGTCTTCCAGATAAGCCGTTGGATTAATCGTGTGTCAGAGAGAGAGAGACTCATGGAGACACAAGAGAGGGAGGAGGGGTACATTCCCCAGTCCCCCCATTGTTTGATCGTTCTGCCGAAAATGCCTCGGCTAATTGTCAGATGCAAGATACAGCAGAATGCAGCTACAGTTACTTCATACATGCTCGGACGTACATCGTGCCTGCGTTCCAACTCCACGCTTTGCCTTTTCGTCGTGTACATAATGCTGCAGAATGTTCAGAATATGGCCATTATAGAGTACAGTTAGATAGGATCGAATCCCGCATAGCTTCAGTTTGGTTGTTCAGTAGATTACAGTGTCCTCCTGGTCCTCGACCACCTCTCCGCCGTCATCGTCGTGTGCGCGATGCAGATCATCGTGGCCGTCAGCCACAGACACGGTGCTATCATGTGCGGGTGTGGCGTCTTGTGGGGCCTGTTCTGCCTCCCCTTCGGATTTCGAGCCTGAGTTTTCTGCGCGCACAGCATTCTCCTCAGGTACGCTCTTGGACTCGTGGGCTTCTGATTCTGGCACCGACGCCGGTCCCTGCGCATCATCCTGTGTGGTTTCCGGCCTCGGCTCTTCCTCTGCGTGGGTGTCCTGGTTCTGAGATGCATAGCGTGCCTCAAACTCGGCCCTTTCCCGGGCAACGGTTGCCTCCGCCTCTTGGATCTGTTCGTCTATAACGTCTTCATCATCGGACCTCAATTGCCATGGTTTGTAGTACTATCCAGCACCCACAGTTAGCGTTACTCCGCATGCAAGCCAACCCCTATCACCCCCAAGGATTACAAGGGCAAAGGTGAAACACATACCAAAACAGGCTCCGCCTTCGTCTTCAGATACCTCGCCGTAGCCAAGATATTTTCGTGCCGAGTCCGCATCTGCAAATGATAACAAATTAGCACTTTATACCGTAAACCACCTCGTAACCCCCAGAACGCCGAAGCAATCCAGAATGAGAAAAAAAGGGAGGGGGAGCGTACCGCTTCCTCCTCATAAGCCCTCTGATACTTCTTCCGTCTCTGCACCCTCTCCTCCCGCCGCTTCTTCTTCAATTCCCCGTACTCCTCATCCTGTAACTTGAGCTTATCCTGCTGCCGCTTCTCGATATCCGCCCGCCGTCTCTGGGCCGCCGTGTTCGAGGAGCTCTGGGAGAGCGTGCCCAGCAGCGCGCCGAACAGCCGCTGGCCGCGTTTGCGCTCCTCGTCCTTGCGTCCGGCGGCCGGGCGGCGCGGCGGTGGTGGTGCGCGTTTCGATTCTTCCGGGGAGGCCGGGGGTTTCTGGTCTTGGTCTGCTGTGGGTTCCGATTGGACGACTGGCGGGTGGTCATTGTTGTTTGTTCCTGCGGCTTGTTCTTGTTGTTCTTGGTCTTGGTCTTGGTCTCGGTCTTGTGGCTGGGTGGCGGAGGCGGAGGTACTCAATCGGCGGCGTTTGCTGTCTGTTTCTGTGCCGGCCGCTGTGGCATCATCACCCGCCTCGGTAGCGGAGGAGGACTGTCGCCGTTTGAGGCCTGCATTTGTTGTTGTGTGATCTGGGGAAGGGAGTCGGGGCTGGTGGTCTTCTGGATCAGGCAGAGCTACTGCTGATGCGAGAGTTCTGTTTGGGTGATATTTTTGTCATAGCGTTAGTAAAACGTGTCTCATCTCAGAGAGCGTGTAGAGTATGCGTTAAGAGAGAATACTGAGACTGAGACATACCCTTCAGCCATATCCGCACTCAGAGACCAAACGGATCGGGGAGGTTGTACGAAAGGGTTCCCAAGAAAATTGATAACACCACAGTTTAAGACAGGGTGGGGTATGTGCCTTGTAACCAGGGGGACAAGCAATGTCGATGAGTGAAGGACGAAAGGAGATCGAACAGACAAATCACCCACGAGCGAGAGAAAGAAAAGCAGGTGTTTCTCAAACCAACTTCCAAACCGATAACTGGAACTTTAGTTAGCGATGCGATCGATAACTTCTGGCCAGCTGCTTCGGCGGCGGCGCGGGACTGCTCCGTGCACGGACCACGCCTTACCCAATCGGGGCCTGCCGTTGTGCCAGTGCCAGTGCCAGAGGCAGAGCCGGACTGAGGAAGCCCGGCGATTCTTCTTCTTCCTTCTTCACTCCCTCTCATCTGGACCACACCTCCGAGCTTAGCTATTCACCCTTGCTTTGAAATCGTCTCCATCCACGCCACCTGCAGCGTACAACACCTTCCTCTCCTGCTATTTGAGGCCCTTTCCACCCCTTAAGTTCAAACCTCAGTCCCTATCACCGACTTTGAAACCGCCTACCCTCATCACAACCTCACCCACAACCACCCCTACACCCCCAAAATGTCCCGCCACCACCCCGACCTCGTCATGTGCCGCAAGCAGCCCGGCATCTCCATCGGCCGCCTCTGCGACAAGTGCGACGGCAAGTGCCCCGTCTGCGACTCCTACGTGCGCCCCACGACCCTGGTCCGCATCTGCGACGAGTGCTCCTTCGGCAACTACCAGAACAAGTGCATCGTCTGCGGCGGCGAGGGGATCAGCGACGCCTTTTATTGCTTCGAGTGCACCCGCCTGGAGAAGGACCGCGACGGGTGCCCCAAGATCATCAATCTGGGTAGTTCGCGGACGGACCTGTTCTACCAGAAAAAAAGTTTTCGAAATCATTGACCTTGCCCCGCCCATTGTACCGCTTGCTCACCGCTGGTTTCGCTGCTGGTCTGGGGAAAAGGAGCGAGCGGATTATGGCCCGTTTTCTTACGTGATGTGATGCTCGACTTTTGCCGAAGCGCCTCGTCTTGGCTATTACGAATGAATTGATGAGAGAACACAAAGCTGGTGTGATGGTGGAAGAAACGCTCAGCTCTCTAAGTGCCGTGCCGGGGTGAGGGGCTATATACTGTATCGATCTCATAGAGCAAAAAAGCAAGATGTACAAGAAATCAGGGGCAACCGTCGGGTCCACCTGGGACTGATCATATTTACCGTCCGGGACGTCTCGGTCTCGCGAATCCGCGACTGGGCCCGATGCTTTGTTGCGGGTGGACCTCTTCCTGCAGCCTCTCGCCGGAGATCTCGTCGGGAGAGGATGCCTCGATCTGCAAGTGCTAGATGTTAGCGGAAGCTCATTTTTACGGGATCGGGCCGTTGACTGACCTTCTTCGAGACCTTCAGGCCCTGCTCTTCAGCCAGCGCGAGCGCGTGCATGCGGGAACTAGCGTACAGCATGCGCTCTCGGATCGACGACCCAGACGGGCAGGTGTAAATGAAGACCACGGTATCGGAGTCAGGGTAGTGATAGAAAGTGTACCGCGGCGAGGAGTCCGGGATGTGCGACTGGACGGAGTTGGCCTCGACGCCCGACTCGGCGACAGCCACCTTGAAAGCCTCCGACTTGACCTCGATGGCCTGTATTTAGTTGCGAAGCATATCGTTAGCGAGACCTCCAATCCAGATCCAATCATTCAAAGCAGATCTTGTCCTCTTCTTCCCTTCCCCTCCCCTCCGAGAGTGAGGACCCCCAGGAACCAGATAAATCACCCGCATCAAACCAGACCAAAGACAGGGACAGGAGAAACAACATACCAACTGCACCAACCCCCCAGCCTGCAACCCGCCGAGCGCCGCCTTAACCTCATCATCGACATGCATCTGGATGCGCATCCCCGACGCGCCCCCGCCCGTGCCCCCGGCGGCGAACAAACTGCCGCGCTGGAAGGTGCCCCCGATGCCGATATCGCGGCCGGGCGTGCCGGACCGCGCCTCCTCCTCCGCGCGCCTCACGGCCTCCAACTCGCGCTCCTTATCGCCCATCAGATCCTCCCGCCTCCACCCCAGCCCTTGATCGTCAGCGCCAACATCCTTCCGGGACTTCTCCGCCTCCCGCTCCCGCCACGCCGCCTCCCCGATCACCTCGTCCTCGTCCGTGGCGAAGATCGTGGCCGCGAACTTCTCCGTGCCCAGTTCGCGGGCCAGCGTGGCGCGCGTCGCCGCGAAGAGGGTCTTATTGCGCACGCCAGCGTTGGAGGGGATGTAGGTGAGGGCGAGGAGTTCACTTTGCTGCCGGCGGAGGAGCAGGTAGATCGGGGTCTTGGGCTCCAGGACGGTGGAGAGCTGCGGGAGGGAGGCGTAGAAGCTGGCGGCATTCTCGGTCGACGAGGGGGAGGCGAAGGGGAGCGCGGGCAGCGGGGTCAGGCGCTCGGATTGGATGGTTACCGGTAGGCAGAATTGGGTGGCGTCGGTGGTGAAGCTTGTGAAGGCGGTTTGGAGTTCTTGGGACACTGGATTTGTAGACCATTAGTTTTGGGGTTTCTTGTCGGGATAAGTAGGGGGCGTTGTGGGATGGTGAGGTGGTTTTTGGTGGAAGATGTGGCCGATGTCGTAATGTCAGGGGAAGTGAGGCCGGGAGGAGGATCGGGGGGAAATGTTGGGGAGCTTGGAGCCAGAGGAGTGTGCAGTGGAGATGAGATTGTACCTGAGATTCCGGACTGCATCTTGAAAGAAAGACACCAAGACTGGTGTGGGGGTTCTCTGATGCTGTCGGTGGTTGTTGTTGCTGCTGCAGTTGATGGGCAAGAGGGACGGACGGATGTTTACTGCGGAGCGGACGGAGGGGGCCAGCGCAGAAGCGGTGTGTCTGGCGGGGCAGGCGGGTTTCTATCCTTAACCTCTACTTACTATCTTGATTTTTTTTCTAGTTCTCAAGACATTCTCTATTCCATACTTGGTCAACCAGTCATTGCTACTCTGGTATCATAATATCATCATCATCAGGAAATCGCGATGGATATTCACAATTCTAACCATCTTTCCAAAAAGGTATAGATACAAAGGAAACATGCAACCAAACAAAACGACGTGATATATACAATCCACCCCAGATGTGAATCTTCCAAAACCGGCTATCCAGGCCTCCAACAGCACACAAAATATAAACAGGAAATCCCTTATCTCAAAAGCAGTGATCGAAAACGCCACCATGCTCAATGGTATCAAATGCTTTCGAAAACACATGGCGGCTCACTCCTTTCCTACCCGCACAACACCTTTTCCCCGCCGTTACTCCTCGAAAGTGCCGCCGACGAAGGGCCACCGCGATTGCTCAAGCTTGCCCTTCAGGAACTCATAGACAGTGAATGTGACGGCTTGGCCCGGGGCGACTCTCATCACACGGGGCGTGATACCCTTGTAGAAAGCGGCGGCCCCCTCCTGCTTGAACATGTCCTTGGCGATGACCACGATGCGGGTCACGGCGGACTGGCCGGGCTCGGCGCGGGTCTTCTGCAGTCTCGTCTTGATGGTGTCGATGGGGGCGTTGGAGAAGGGTCCGACGGCGCCGGAGATCAATCCGATGCAGGTCGTCTGGTAGGACGGAAGCTGCGAGTTGGCGTACTCGGGCTGGCTTCGCTGGAGGAAGGCCTTCAGCTCCGTGTAGGCGGTGAAGTTGGCCGCCTGGTTCGTTCCCTGGCGGAGGGCAGTCAACGAGACACCGCGGTACAGGGTGCTGAATCCTTCCTCCCGGATGACGGTGAACAGGGCATGCGGCGCGCTGCGGTACTTGGGGGTGTCCAGAGGGTCCGACAGACTGTGGTGTTGTGCTTGCAGACGGATCTTGATCACTTCCATCGGGTTGACCACCGCCACGGCTTCTGTCACACCAGCGCAGAGACCAGCTATTGAGGGGAACATGTCAGTCAGGACTTCTCGGGCCAACCCATTCAGTGAAGCGCTGCCGTGTCGACATACCGAGGAATGTGGCCTTGCTGGTCACGGCTCCAGTCTCTTTGTCCGCGAGCCATTGCTTGTACGTTTCGTAGGATGTGAATCGGATGGCCATCTTCGGAATGATGCCTCCCAGGACGGCTCCGAGACCCTTGTACAATCCCAACGCGGTTTCTCTCTTGACGATATCGACACCAGTGGCAACGAATCCGCGGGGTTTAACCTGGTCCAGAGTGTCAGTTGAAGCGCAATTGTCTGCGCGGGTGCGCTACTTACACCAGGGGCTCGGGCCCGACGCGACAACTGCATGCGGACTTTGACGGTATCTGAATGACTGTCAATGGACCATTCTGATTGCTCTCGGTAGGTCGAGTGTCTTACCTAGGGGGTGGCACACAAGGGCCTCCATCATACCAGCACCACCACCAGCTGTCGCGAGTCAGTTATTGTGCGGCAGCGCCTGCGCCGGGAGCGACTAGAGCTTCGTACCGATCAGATTGACAGCTGGGGAAGCCGGCTTCTTGCCATTTCCTCCTTTCGCAGACATGATGAAAAGATTGTGTGACTCAAAAATTAATCGGTCAATTGACGCTCAGGGCTACACCAGGTAGAGCGAGAGCAGTCGAAGCGATGCGATTGTATGCGCTTTTCTTTGGCAATGGCAAAGGCCAGGCAAGGAAACCAGGGCGGATAAATGAAGGGAAGCAAGGAAAAAAGAAAAAAAAAAGAAAAGAAAAGGAGAATGGTAAGCCCTCGTTCTGGAGCGCAGGGAAACCCTTTTTTTTTAAAATAGGGTGCAGGATTGACGGATCGGTGGTTCACAAGCAGTGCCAAATAATTTGCTGGTACGGGGAGATACGGAAGTATAGCAACTACGTTCCCTCGGCTCGACCAAGTCAAGGTATTTAAAATCGGCGATTGAGAGGAGGTCACTGGATCTGGGGTCTGGCGGGCCAGTCGCGCAGAATAACTGGTTTGTCCCGGATAACAATAGTCGCAATAATAATAATGATGGGGGGGAATGGAGACTCGGCAATGAGGATCTCTCTCTACTTGCTGGGCGGACGGACAGGATGAGTTTAGCCCTGAGAAGCCGAGCGTGGAGAAGCTATGACGGGGAAGCGGAGGAAGCTTCGCTGGACGAGCGGAACTGCGGATGAGCTGCCGCCGCTGCAACAGCCGAAAATTATTCGCAACGGGGGGGAAGGATGATTATAGTCAGAGAGGAATAGGAATGTCCTTTATCTATACTTCGACAGGGGAGCCTACGACCTTCTTATACGCTGGTTCTCCTCATTGTCTACGACTATCAAGGCATCAGCTACAGTATATTGGGAGTACGTACAGTACAATGACACATCATACTCATGCTCATGTCGCCTGGGGGCCTGTCTCCTCCCCACGTTGTCGACCTCGCTCTTCCGAGGCTTCGGGTCCAAGGGCAGCTTGGCCTGTCAGTCTGGCAATCCCAGTGACTGACTGAATGAGTAGTACCCGGCCAATCTTCCTCCGAGCGGTGCCACTGGACACAGCGGAACCACACATACAGTACAGGCAAGCAGAGCCCAAACCCTGAGTGCCAGTCAGTGATTCAGCCCAGCAAAACTGCATCGGGCGAAGAACCAGAACCACCTTCACATGCTGGATCTTGTCGTCATCTGCGTGTCGTGAACAACATCATCCTCCCGCATTCAGAGTTTGGAAGCTTGTGACAGTCATCCCTGGGGAACTTAGGCAGGGTTTCATGGTGAACCCTAACTTCATTGTATGTACTGTAACAACTGTAGCCCACCCAGCACACTGCCTTCAAAATCACGACAACTAGTGATGGAGAATGTGAGTAGGTAGTTCACGGGTATTCCCGGGCCAAGCACCTGGAGATTCAAGCTGCTGCCGAGGTCGTTTCCAACCCTCCCAGTCCCCTCAGGCTCTCCTTTCCCATTCTTCCCCGGAGTTCTCTGGACCGGTCGCATTACTGTTCTGCATGGGAGATCTCGTCCCCAAAGATCTTGTGACCTGTGACCACCGGAGTTCTACCATCGCTCCGATTTTCGCAATCGCTCCCCTGACCATGGACTAGGCGTGGTGGGTGTGATTCTCTGCTGCAGTACGGAGTACAAAAGTGCTTACCCCACGGTTCAGGTTTTATCCATGGTCTGCTGACCGTTTTTCCCCCCGCGGCTTGCATTCCCAGTCCAGTCTGCTCCGGCAAATTTCTTGCGAGACTGCAATTTTTTTTAGCGAACTATAGCTCCCAGTTACTTTTTGTAGGAGACAAAATAATGATATCGATAATCAATCGGATCAGGTGACTTCTTACTGCGTACAGTACCACGGACCACAGAGTTAAGCCGGCCGCCGGCCTGAGGCTCTAATCTGAGATCTTCACATGCTGCTGGTCACACGGCATCGGGGTCTGTCTCACTTGGTTGTGAGGATCGTCTCTGGGGGAGAGATAACCTCCGATGAGGGATTCAGCTGCCGATGCCTCGTGGGCGCTCTATAGCAGCGCTCGAGTAAGTTATGTACAGTAGGATGGTTAGGGGAGGGTCACGTGCTGCGAGGGACGGACGGTTGATCGTTGGCCCGATAAGTTACAGGAGAGTATACCGCGTTGACCTGGCTGCTGATACTGACTGATACTGTGGATTAGGACTGAGTGCTCCAGATAAGATTGTTGATCTAGTTCTTATCTGGCGTCTACCTCCAGAAGTATGTACTGTACAACCGCGCACATGCATGTCCACGCCCAACAACGACAACTGAACAGCAACCGCGCAAGCCCACCATGGCAGATCTTTCAGCCTATCGGTTTATCAGGTCGGCCCTAGATTTTGACCCCGATCGACCACCGACACAAAACTCGCCCACCATGCAGAGCGAAAATGGCACAATCTGAGTTTGTCCACCTGCTATAAGGCGAGGGGGAAACGCTTGGCAAGAACTACATCTTCGTGAGAGAGTTCTACGAAACGCTTAGTAGGAATACAGTACATCATGAGCGTGGCCTCGCCAACCCCAACCCCAACCCCACCACCACCATCACCATGGTACCGCCGCGGCGTGGGACAAGCCCTGACAACTACCGCGCGCTTCCTCCTGCACCAATGGCTGCTGATCGGCATCGGCGTCGTCTGCGTGCTGGCGTACTACTTCCCGAACGTCGCGAAGAACGGGGGCATCATCCGGTCCGAGTATAGCGTGCTGTACGGGGCGATGGCGCTCATCTTCCTGATCTCGGGGCTCAGCGTGCCGCGCGAGAAGCTGTTCCGGCACCTGCTGAATTGGCGGCTGCATGTGCTGGTGCAGGGGATCTCGTTTCTGTTCATCCCGGCGCTGATGCTGGCGGTCGTGCACATGATCTTAGCGGGCGATCCGCACGCGCACATCGACCGCGCCGTGCTGGCCGGCTACGTCTTCCTGGCCTGCATCCCGACGACCATCGCGTCGAACGTGGTGATGACGCGCTCCGCCGGCGGCGACGACGCCGCCGCTCTGGTGGAAGTCATCATCGCCAACTTCCTGGGCCCCTTTGTGACGGCCGGCTGGACCATGACCCTGCTGCCCGCGGACCCGGCCTTCGACCCCTGGCGCGCCTCCGCCGACGGCGACCTCTCCGCCATGTACCGCGACGTCTTCAAGCAGCTCGGCCTCGCCGTGCTCCTCCCGCTGGTCGTCGGCCAGCTCGTGCGCTGGACCTGGCCCGATCGCACCGCCTGGGTCCTGCAGACCTTCAAGCTGCCCAAGCTGAGCACCGCCTGTCTGCTGCTGCTGATCTGGTTCGCACCCGCAACCCCCCCAATCCCATCCCATCCCATCCCATCTCAATTCTAACACAAGGAATAGGTCAACATTCAGCTCCTGCTTCGCCACCGGCGCCCTGCAAACCCTCTCCGCCCAAACCATCATCTTCGTAACCCTCTTCAACATCGCCCTCTACATCTTCATGACAGCAGTATGCTTCCTCTTCTCCCGCCCGCCCGCCTGTCTAGCCAGCCTGGCGATCCCGATCCCCGTGCCCGCCTTCCTATCCCGGTTCATGGACGCAGAAAATCCCGGGGGGGACGGGGGAGAGAAACCCAGAATGGTGGAATTCCGGCCGTTTCGGCCCATGGATCCCAAGGAGGCCATCGCCGTGTGTTTCTGCGCCCCCGCCAAGAGTAACGCGCTGGGCATCCCGTTGCTGTACGCCATGTGGGGGTCCTTGGAGCTGTATCTCAAGGCCAAGACTTCGGTGCCCGTGTTGCTGTTTACCACGGAGCAGATCTGTGTGGCGCATTTCTTTGTGCATTGGTTTCGGAAGTGGAGGGTGCGGGTGGAGGGGGTTCAGTTTGGGGATGCGGAGGGGGAGGGGGATACGGAGGGAGGGGCAAGGAGAGGAGGGGATGGGAGTGAGCAGGAGGGAGTTGGTTCTGGTTTGGTTGCCGCGGATGCAACAGGGAAAAGAGCGGCCGTGGAGAATGGGGGGTGGCGGGAGAAGGACGCTTCCACCCTTGTATAACCGCCCATGTTTCGTTTGATAGATTCGTACAATAGAATAAGAATTTACAGGAGTAAGGATACAGAACGTGGGTGGGACAAAGTCGATGCAGTTACAGCATCGACCCTGTACATTGAAGACCACAGACCATGGTTCGTCCTCAGATATAGCTCACTTTCACCCCCATCCCTATCGTCCCCTTGACTTTCTGCCATCCCGCGCCTGTTATCCTCCGAATGCGCTCCCGGATATCCTGTCGGCTCAGCGCGAACAAGATCCCCAGCATGAAGAGCACCGTCCGCGCGAAGGAGAGCGGGTTTCCCGCGATACTCTTCCGGATGAACTGCATCAGATTGCGGACCACATTCGTCAAGGCTTGTGATCGCTTGGCTCGCGTGTCTGGCTTGTCTGTCTTCTTGATGCTCTTTGAGCCCGACGGCGAGAACGCAGTGCGGCCTGTGGAAGAAGCCCCAGTCTTCCCATTGACCTGCTTTTCGCTGCTCTTCCCTCGGCCCTTGATGCTGCCATTTGGATACGTCTTCTCAATCCCGTAATCCACCTCGCTGCTGCTCCGGCCATGACCCTTCGGCTGCGACTGTGCGGCAGCAGCAGCAGCGGCGGCGGCGGCGGCGGCATCCTCTTCCAGTTGCCGTCGCTCAGCCTCGCGCGCTTGTCTTTCGAGCTCCGCGTCTTTCTCCCGCTGCAGCGCCGCAGCGCGCAGCGCGCCTTGCTGCTTCTCCTCCTTCAGCCCCTCTAGTGTCTGCAAGAACACGTCTTTCCGTTCTTCGTCGAGGACTTCACTCAGACTAATGAATTCCTGCGCGTAATCCCATTCCTCGTTGCGGGGAAGCACATGCAGCGTGAACAGCTCGATGATCCGCACCCGTGCGTTCAAGTCCTTCGGCGTATCTGTCCCGCCATTGGCTCGCTGTAGCGACGTCGTGGACGAGGAGCTATCGCGCAGATGCTGCTCCGTGATGTCTAGGTTCGGTTGACCGGACGACGAAAGATAGGTTTCAAGTCGCTGTTGGTTGAGTTTCTGCGACGGCATATGGCTGAGAAGTAGGGTGGCGCTAATGGGTTGAGCTGTGGTCAGTTGGCAAGATCGGGCTGGCAACGCTGAGGATAACTCACAGATTATATACAACTTCCGCGTCGACGGAGCCCTCAAGACCCTGGTAGCCGGTCTGCACAACGGTCTCCCAGATCTGTCCCTCGCGGACCTGGGACGAAATGGCTTTCCATTCCTTTTGTCCAAATACTGCCTTGCCTTCTTCAGGCCCCAGGTCGACAATGCCGCTCAGCAGAGTGATGTAGAGATTCCATACTTTGATCCGCCACGTGGGCTGGGCGGAGGCGATGGGCGGCCCGCCGAGGGCTGAGGAGGAGTCGCCGTTGGTGAATTGGTCGTCATTGCCGCTGGGAGAGGTGATGGCGGGTTCTAAGGCGGCGAGCGCTTCTTGAAGTCGTCGTGTAAGAAAAAGGTGCGATGCTTTTTTGTAGGTCTTGGAGCAAAGCTTGGAGGGCGAAAGTGGTAGTGGTGATGTTGATGTTGCGGAGGAGGAGAGGTGTTGCGACTGCGATGCCGATGGGTCGGCCATTGTAGCTACCGCCAGCGGGAATGCGACAGGCGACTTGAAAGTGGGAGAATGGGGTTGGGAATGATGAAATGAGAGGTACGATGCTTCCACAGAGAAATTCAAACAATTGTTAAGTGTGGTTGACAGGCAGACTACACTTGGAGGAGGTTGGGGGTTGGGAGAGGAGGACGGAACGCTGTGACACTAACCGGCACTTCTTCTCATACGGACCGATCGTTTGCTGCTTCTGCTTCCAGCTTCACCTCGGCTTGTCCCTCAGTCCAAGTCCGGGGTGTTGCTCTGTCACGGGATGGTGGGATGGTTGCCTCAGGCTACCACCCCGCGATAACGCCACTGTTTCGTGACAGCTTCATGCTTCATGCTTCATGCTTCATGCATCCCTCCACTTCCAAGCATCGATCGTCATCATGTATAAGGGAGCACAGAGATTCAACCAGTGCTGATTGTGTCTGAGACATTAATTACAACAAAATAACATTGTCAAATCAAAGGAATTTCAAATGAGCCTTCAAGACCATCTTCGTTCCTTCCTTCCTACCCCGGACTCCGCCCAATCAACAAAACACCAACCTCTATTCCCGCCAAACACTGAAGATTGCGGATGTCATATCACACTCGTGCTCAGCCTAGATTACACTCATCCTCATTCTCTGAAGGCAATCTACTATCATTATTGTTATTATCTTTTTCATCCCTCAACTGCCTACTACGCTTCATAGATAGAAAGCATGGATATCACCGCTCAGACCTTCGGGCCCACTCTCCCTATGCTCCTAGATGAGTTGTCAACCTGCTGCTTTGTAGCCCTGGACTTCGAGTTCTCTGGAATAGCGAAACGTGGCGATGGAGGCACGAGCCGGCCGAGCACGCTTCAGGAGCGGTACGAAGAGGTCAAGACATCTGCCGACCACTTCCAGATCCTGCAGGTCGGCTTGACCATCTGTCATGAAGACCTGAAGGAAGGTTGGGAGTCCTCCATCGATTTGCTTCCTGATCAAAGTCGCTAATCGGGATGGGAAGGTATCTACACTCTGCGGCCATATAACCTGCACTTGAGCCCGATCATTGACGACAGGCTTGGAGTTGAAAGGCACTGGTCTTTTCAAAGCAGCGGTATGCTTGCCACAAAGCCCGCTGCCTCCGGCTACTGACTTGTTCTTTCATTTTAGCTGTTGCGTTTCTCTTGACCCACAGATTTAGTATGGACTCGCTCTTCAGACAAGGCGTGAGTTATCTGTCTAGAGACGAGGAGATCAAGGCCGTGTTCAGGGTCCTTGAAAAGTTCAAACGCCCGGAAGCGACGACCACAATAGGCGTTGATGAAGCCGAGACTGAATCACTTGCCTTTCTTCAAGAAGTGCGACGTCTTGTGGATGAGTGGCTTGCGCTTGGTACAGTATGAAGCCTCCTCTCCATTTCGTGAAGCTCGTCTGATTTCCGGCAGGCTCGTGGCAGCTACCTCAACATCCCACCAGCGAGTCGTCCCGGTGCAGTCGAAAGTCCTGGTATCATGTCGGTGGAGCTTAACAGATTTCAAAAGAGACTCATATATCAACTTGTAGAGGTTGAGTATCCGTTCCTGAAAGCTATCGGACGGTCGGCCGGGTTCCTACAAATCGTTGACCGTGACGAGGAGCTGGAAAAAACTGCTCTTGCCCAGAAACTCGAGTCTACGCAGAAGAGAGTCTGGGAACAGACGGGGTTCAGATGGGTCGCCGAGGCTCTGGCTGGTGGTGATCTCACAAATCTTCCGCAGGACTACTTTAACAACCGCTGGGCAGGCCTGCATAAGCCAAGGCAGCAGCTGAATTCAGATCAAATCAAGCGACGCCTGCGAGCCACCCGACCAGTGGTCGTGGGCCACAATCTCTTCACCGACCTGATATACTTCTGCCGATGCTTCTTTGGGCCTCTCCCGGACCGTGTCGAGGAGTTCCAATCAATGATCCATGAGATGTTTCCTGTTCTGATGGATACAAAATATATGGCTACCCATGATTGCGGCTCCATCAATCCTACGTCTAGCTTGCAAGATCTTCACAACAAGCTGGCTTTCGTCCCTTACCCGAAGACCAGTAAGTGGCCTTCATCCGGCTCGCCATCTAGATGAGACTAACATACCTGCTTCCGCTAGAGCTTGCTTCTCAGCATACAAAATACAAAGCTCATGGCATCAGCCATGAGGCGGGCTATGACAGTTTGCTCACCGCCGAAGTCTTCATCAAACTCTCTGCACATCTTCGGGACCGGGGCGCAGACGAGAAACCTCCACCATCAGTCCACGAGCTGATTCGGCAGGGTCAGCCAATTTCACAGACACAGACGCCAGGCAGGGGCGCATACAAAACCGAGTTTGGGCAGGCTCAGCCTCTGACCCTGCCTATCCAACGGAATCGAGACAAGGGCAAGAACACAAAGGCGACAGGATCAGCCCCAAAGCCTGGTCAGCCTGCGTCGGCTGAATCGCACACGCAGCTCGTTGAGCATACGACCAATACTTATATGAAACTCCGCACGGACGAGGCTGAGGCCAGCAAGCGCGCGGCTCACACTGTCATTGCGGGTCCTCCAGGAGCGTCCCAGATGGTGCTGAGACCCAGTGATTCCATAGTAATCCAAGATAGAGTAAACCGTGGACAGCTGATCCCTCGTTTAGACGCCAAATTCTGGAGCACCTACGGAAACAAGTTGCGTGTTTTTGGTACGCAGGAGAGGGTGTGCCAGGTTGGTTGAAGCGGATCGAGATTGCCAATAACAGCAACTCCATAGACTCTGACATATAGTAATGCAGCGATGAGCTTATGATTTACATTGACAGATTACTACTAGCTGCCCAGCATAACTGCCTGAGTAATGGTTGGGGAATGTATGCAGCGTCTATCTAACAGTACACCTTGGTTCAAGAAGGTACCGCTAGCGAAAAATGGCCGCAAAGTACTCACTCTGAGCACCGGAAAAATGATCGACTGGTCGTGGAAAAACTAGAACAGTGACGATAAGGAAATGGTGCCGTGAGAAGAAAAGAAGAAGAAAAAAGGAAGAGCGGATTTGGCGGGGACGGGTTATAAAGGATTTGATCACGTGCAGTGCTAGTCTTGGACCGGAACTGGAATTGTTCCGACTGGAGTCTCGCCGGCAGAGAGACTGACAGAGAGAGAGAGAGAGGCAGGTGACCGCCGCGCCGCCAACTTTTCTCGTCCAGTATCGGCGTCCGGGAGGGACTATATTGACAATCAACCCCCCCCCAAACATTTCACATAGCCTCTGGAAAGATGTCTTCCGGGTCCAATGGTGCCAGGCGCATAGCGTCGCTTTTGCGTGAGTTCAATCCAATTTTCTGGTCTTCATAGTCTTCCCCCGATTTTGCAATCAAACGACGGGCAGCTAAACTGTTTTCCATGTCTCCCAAACAACAGGGCCTTCCGCCTCCGATTCCAGAGTGTGCAGAAGCTGTCAAGAGACAATTGTCCGCCGCCAATATGCCTCTGCGGCGACGACGCAGGGCACCCCCGAGACCACGACCGCGCCGCCCAGCTCGGCCTTCCCCGTCGTGAAGCCCACCCACACCATCAAAGCCGGCGTCCTGCTGTCCCGGCAGCCCCAGATCACCCGCGACCTGACCGACTTCGAGAAGGCGTACTTCTTCTACCAGCGCCGTCTGAACGAGCGGCTGACGCTCCCCTTCACCAAGTACTTCTACTTCAAGCGCGGTACGCCCGCCGACGAGGACTGGAAGCGCAAGATCCGCGAGCGCCAGACCGCCGCCCGCGACATCGGCAAGTACAACGCCTACTCGAAGGACGCGTGGAACGATGAGCTGCTCGTCGGCGCCGTCGAGTCCGACCCGGCCCACCAGGTGGAGATGCTCGTCCAGGACGCCGAGGCCACCGTCAATGCCACCTCCCAGGACACTAGCAAGAAGGAGGAGGTCCCCCGGCCGTTCCCCCGGTGGACGGAGGCGGACGAGAAGGGCGACGACAAGAGTCTGAACCGGGCTCTGCAGCGGACGCTGTATCTGCTCGTGCAGTCGAAGGAGGGATACTGGAAGTTGCCCAGCTCCGCGGTGGAGCCGGAGGAGACTATGAAGCAGGTACGTTTTTTTTTTCCTTTCTCCAGAAGTCCACGGCATCGGTGGCTGTGGGATTGCGACGGTTCCTAACTTTTTGTTCAATGCAGGCTGCCCAACGTACCCTCGCCCAGGCGGCGGGTGTGAACATGAACACCTGGTTCGTGGGCTACCACCCTGTCGGCCACTACGTGTACAACTTCCGCAAACCCTCCTCGGAGCTCCAGGGCGAGAAGACCTTCTTCATGAAGGCGCGCATCTTCACCGGCCAGGCCGACTTGGCCGGGAATGCCGATAACCTGACCGACTTCAAGTGGTTGGCCAAGGACGAGATCGCCAAGTACGTCCGGCCACAGTACTATGCCAGCATCAAGAACATGCTGGCTGAGCGGTAAACCAACCTCTTGAAGATGTTTTTGCTTCGTTGGCACTGTACTGTTAGGATAGAATTTTCGTGAAGGGGGTTGCGGAGTGTGTGTTGCAGTTAGACCCGGGAATAGTTGCATATATCCTTCTGTATGTGTGTGTCTGTGTGTCATGTATAACTAGCTTTTTTCACTATCAATGTTCTTATTCCTGTTTACTGTTGGATATCATGTGCAAAGAACCTTCTGTTGCCTCTACCTTTCCCTGCCAATTGCACCCCTGAACGCCATGCCAGCCATGAATGGGATCTTTACCCAGTAATCCCTCCGATGATAAGGATAAATCATAACATCAACCCAAATAACAAATGAACCCTCCAAGGGCAACGTACCCATGACTACTTCAAATTAAACTTCTGCCCCTGCACCACCGGCTGCCCCTTCGCAACCCCCTTCGCCAAACTCTTCCCACACATAGGACAAGCTAGAACACCCATCAGTATATTCCATTTAGTAAAAAAAACACGGCACAAAACCTCTTACGAACCACCCCAGAGAGAAAACAAAAGGGAAAAGGGGGAAAAAAAAAGGAAATACCAACAATTCTTCTGATACGCGCACCGCTGGCAATACTTCCGGCCCTGCTCGGTCTTAGTCTTGCACATCTCGCACGAGGACGAGTACGCCGCATAGGGGTTCTTGGCTTTGGCGCTGAGGAGTTTGCTCTGCTCGCTTTTGTGTCAGTATCATTTTTAAAGTGGAGAGGGGGGGGGGGGGGCAACGGTGCAGTGAGTGAGTGGCTTTTTACCTTCCCGATCCCCGTGTTCCCGAGCGTGGGTTTCGACTTATCGGCGCTGCTTGTTCCAGTACTGCTGCTGCCGCTGCCGAGGGAGGAAGAGGGCGAGCCGTAGTACATCTCGCTCTTGCGTTTGACGCCGGGTGTGGCTAGTTCCGTTTGTTTGAGTTTCTTTTGGCATTTGGCGCAGACCATTTTGATGGATTTTTTGGGAGGTTGGGGGTTTGGGGTGGATGGGGTGGTGTTTGTTGGGTGGTTTATTTGGGTTAGAGTGTAGAGCTGAGGGGCATCTATGATGGATTGATAGCTGAGGTGGTGAAAGCTTGCTTGCTGGATGGATGATGGATGGATGGAGAGATGTGGCGCGGGGCCGGATGGCGATGACGCCACTGGGCGATGTGGCGCAGTTGCTGGTGTGCTGCTACGGCTGGCACTCGATTCCTATAGACAAATCAGATAACTGTCTTTCCCACTTTGTACAGAACCTGGTACTGATTTTTATTTATTGAATGACCTAGTCGACCAGGATCTATGTCAACAAGGTCGGAACACTCCTAGATTAAGTCAGTGTCTTGTGCTGGATGGCAATTCCCCGAATGGCAGTTACAGGAGGTGTGCTGAAAAGATGTCCAGGAATGATGTAGGCCATGTTCCCAAAGGGGGTTCATAGCGATACCTCTTCATGAGTACTGGACAAATACCTGCTCCGCAGGTCAAAGACCTCTATATGCAACGGACTCGGTACATGTGCATAGTTATCCAATGCCTCCACAGACAGTCGAGCATCTATGCAGGCATAGAGCTGATTCTCAGGTAGTATTTATGTGAAGAGCAATGGGGCTGGCCCAGCTTTTCCTAGGGATTGGCAGCCTTGATTAGTCTCATACAATTTGGTGATGCTTATCTACTGTACTGTACAATTCTTCGCTTCTGTCAGGATGTTTCTATATCCCTAAGAATCACCTCGACATGCGACAGGCAACAGCTACTACTAGGTAATGAGTATAGTTAGTACGGACTACGAAGTCTCCTCCAGGCTGTCACACTGGACGGCTTCATGCGGGTGATTTTCCCGCCTGAAGCAGAAAGTACGATCATGGATGACAGGTAACTTACCTACTACAATCACAAATGATTCTGTCGGCACTTGCGCGCCATAACCTCCCCCTGGACTCCCTCTTCCCCCCGGTCGTATGTACCTCAGCTTATGGTTCCAAGTTCGTTTTACTCTTCCCTTCGTAAACACAAACAAGTCGCGTCCTCCTTCGCTTCTTCTCAGGATATCGCCGCTCCCTCCGACGCCATACTGTTCAACCATGGATACCCGTGTACAGCGCCAGTTTCCTGGTGTGCACTGGATCTGGGGCGGAGGCATCTCATTCGTCTACGAGGTCCACCCTCGCATCGTGGTCAAAGTACCGAAGTCTGGGAAAATCGAACGAGAGCAATTCTATAAAGAGCTTGAGATATATAGGGTATTCTTACGAAATCCGCCGTGCCTCTCTATTGTACAGTGTTTTTACTTTTGCAAGAGTGGTAGCTTCCTCGAGTACATGAGAGGCGCGACCTTTGATGGCAGCCCAAAGATCATCTACTAATTTACCTCCTAGATCAGTCACTTTTCTACAGAATACAACACAATCATACTCGGGACCAGCAAATTATGGTCGTCACAAAGTTGGAACCTCTGCCTTTGCGAAAAAAGATGGATGAACGATCTTGCTGAAGGCGCCGCTTTCTTGGAATCCCTAAACCTCGCCCATGGTGATTTACGGCCCGAGAATATTCTCCTTGATCGCAATCGACTAAAGCTATCTGATTTTGGCTGTGCCGCGAAAGTTGGAACACCGTACGAAGCTTGCATGGCGCCGTATGGCAGAATATTCAATAGCAACGAGCCCGACCAAGGAGAATGTGGGACGTTCGGCTTCCTTGGTCCTCGACAGAACAGTTCGCCCTCGGCTCCTTGTACTATCTGATAAACTACGGCTTCGAGGTTTATGGAGATCGGCGTCTTGCCGACAATCCTTACGAGTATGGCCCTAGGGTTGTGGACTTGTTGCAAAACATGGAATTTCCGAAACTGCATGGTGACCCCTTGATTGACACTGTCATCGACAAATGCTGGCATAACACATATGTCTCGGTTTCAGAGTTAGCTGCGCACACGAAGACACTTTTGGACGAACGAAAAGAGGCGATGCAAAATAACGAAAGCAGAAAGGAAAGCAGCGCCGTGGCAACGTTCGTGAGAGCAATGTTTACCGAACGATGGCGTGTCGCCATGGGTCGCATAATACATGGGGTATTTTTATGGCCTCGGAGTGCGGTGGAGGTCGTTGTTACCGAATGTCCTCAGCCAGATACCAATCACACGAACCAGTGGCGAGAATCTTGGTCGCATTGATCTAGGTTACTTGACAAGGGAATCTTTGTCCAAAAGGGAGTTTTGCCAGGACCTGGAGAAACGTGGGCTTCTTCGCGTACTTGCTTCAGGCGAACCGGAGCAACTCGGATTCACTTTCGAATGGTATAGGCACAATCTAAAAAGTTGGATGGTGAAACAGATTCAGATACAATACGAGCAAGTAATCGCCAGAGAGAAGATGTTCCTAGTTTTTTGGACCTTGTCTATCCCAGCGTGGCGTCTGCTATGTCGAAGTCTCGTCCATTGCATCAATGCCTACGTTTCAGCCATCTTCTCTGTTGGTAAACCCAAAGTCTCTCGTCTCCGGAACCTTTCTTACTGACTGCAACAGCACTTCTCACTCCGACCAATAATAGAACTCTCACCAAAGTACATACCTGGCGAGCCAAGCACGATGTGCGCGATTCCTGTCGCCAGAGTCCAAATATGAACCGACTTGTAGATTAGCGTCAGAATATTTGCCTCCTCTGGTGTCCTTCGATCAACACGCAGTAGTCTTCTACCAAAGACAAATTCTAGACTAGCGCATGTCAGCTTCACAAAGCTTTCATGGTAGATGAGGATGATGGACTCGAGCTTTCAACTGCGCGAATGTGATACGAAAGTGCACACCAACCATTTACGGCATAAACCGCCTTGCGATCGAGCTCCCCACCAATTTTGCTGCCTTCGGAAGTTCGCCGTTCACAATCGCAAGCTCGAGAGCCGGCTGATCCGACTCATTCAACGCTTGAAAACGGGCCCCTCGTGCCTGCAGGAACTGGGCCAGTTCTGCGTTGCGAGACTTGATTGCATTCGCCAATGCCAGATCCCCTCCGCCCCGGCGAATATCCGCTCCAAGGTCCAGAAGAAAAGCTGCCATGGCCACCATTTCGGCCATGGCCTCAGCGTCTACCTGTGTTTTCCTTGCTGGCGACCGTCGACCCCGCCTCGACAGAGCAGCATAGTGAAATGTGCCATCATCGACTTTCCACCAGAAGCCATGCATACGTACAGCCGCTTCTGCTCACGGCCCTTCTTGCCGGTCGTTGAGAAGGTTGAGATCCCCACCGGCCTCTTCGACAAGAAGCTTGACCATGGCAAAATTTCTCAAGCCTACAGCATTAGCCAGGGGAGTAACCCGCGCCTTGCGGCCGAGAAAATTTGGGTCCGCCCCGGCCGCTAACAACATCCGTGCAATATGCTCGGTCCCTGACTGAGTAAAGGTTTCCCGCGTCCCTCTTGAAGCACGACCGCTTTCAGACTCGGATCAATTGCCTGGTGTTTCTCTCCACAGTGCAGGAGGAGCTGGACAAATCTTGGTTCGTTTCTTGTTCCTGCTGTATCTCTGGTAACTGCCCAGCCCATTGCGGAAACTTGAGTATCATTGCATTGCCATGGGTTCGCCCCTCGTTGCAGTAGTGACTCGGCTATATGAAGATGCTGATTGCGGACGGCGACGCAGAGCAGGGTGCTACCGGATCTATCTTCGATGTCTGGTGAGACGCCTTGGGAGAGAAGAAAGTCGACGACCTCGCCATGGCCCGCTTCGGCGGCAAGAAAGATCGGGTGGCAGCAATTTTCTTCTTCTTCAGAGGAGTCATCATCCTCATCATTCTCAGAGTCCGTTGGTCCTTGATATGAGATGTCTTTGACCACCGGTGGACTGGAAAGAGACGCCCCTGCAGCCAATAGTTGATGAATGGTCTGCAGACAGCCATTTTCCGCAGCCCACCATAGCGCCTGAGGGGGTCTGGGAGAGTGCTGCCGTACATGTGCTCGATACAGTATCGGGTTAAGACTGGCGTCAAGAAAATGATTGGTTTGGACTAGCGTGCTGAGCGCATGGGGCGAGTTCAGCAGATGGGCAATGTGAATCAGCAACTCAAGGGGTAGATCAGTTAACATGATAGTGGGACGTTCTCGGAAGAACTGTGAGGGTTACAAGAAGAGAAAAAGGGTCCAGCCAGTGCAAGGCATCCTTTATTAACCAACAACAATCTAATTACTAGTCTGACTATCTAAGAGCCTGCCTCATTAGCGCGGAGCACCGCTTCAATTGCTGGCCACTATTTAGTGCTTAGCTCTTGCTTAGCCCTTCCTTCTGATCAATACCACTCTTTACTGACTCACAGCGCATGGCATGAGTTGTGGCAGTAACAAAATAGCCAGCATTAGCAAGGCGTCTGCTTAAATATTTGTGATATCTTTCTTTCGTCCACGTCATGTATCACCACTTGTTCATCCTTAATTTATCCAAGTGCAACAAAAGGAACATCGCTTTTGAAGAAACTCTCAGATGGAAAAATCAAGACAAACTGACGGCCCTTGAGTTGGTAATGCCCTCCAATTAGGTTTGTATAGATATACGTTAGTTGGACACGGTTTAAGGAGCCTGTCATAGTCACGTGGGCTGCCGCAGTGAGCAGGCATAAGGGTTCCCAGGTGCGTGCTCCGTGAGCATTCCGTAAGTGTCTGTGCTGCCCTCATATAAGCGGCGGCACCTCAATCAAGTAAGCAAACCAGTTCACTGCACTGGGCACTTATACACTAGCAAGTGACAAGTCATAGTTCGAAGAATATTCCAGGTCATCGTGCCTTGGCCTTCAAGCAGGCCAATAATCACCAATACATGAAAAACTCACATGCAAATCCTCGGATTCGCCTGCAGTTTGCTTGGGCTGACACAGGAACGAGATCCACATCACACTGACCTGGTGGTGTGTATTCTTTCGAGACACGAGGCACATGGCACATCGGTAGCGTAGCTCGCAGGAAGTGCTCTTTTAGCTAGAATAATAACACGATGGAGTGACCACAGCTAGACAAAATGCAGTCATCGTTGCCGTTGGGTGGTGTGGCAACTGGCGACGACGATTAAATACTGACTTCGCCCACTTCGGCTTCAGCTCTTCTTCACCCACCCCCAACTCTCGAGCCCACCAATGTCCGACCAGCAGCTCTCAGTCGTTGTTGCTCAGCTAACTGGACTTTCAGCTGTTCTGGACTCTCAGCTTTCCAGGGGTCCCACTCTTCAGAGACCTGCATCATGGCAGGGCTGTCTGGTGGTTGCTTTTTTGTTTCCCAATGGCTGCAGGGTGACCCGCCACTCGTGAACTGGTCTGCATCGGTCACTGATGCGTTGCTAACCCAGACCGCAGACTGGATGCTTCCAGACGGCACAGCGAAGACCAAGACTGTAAGAAAAGTTACTGACATAAACTGACAAGAATAGAAAGCATGCCTGCGCACAGGGAAAGGAGAAACATCGATGGGCGGCGCATGGTGCACAGTCAAACCAGCTTTTCGGACTCCTTAGCTCCACGCTCCTCGAGCGCCAGTTCCAGCGGAGTGGTTCGGCCACTTGCTGTCCAATCTTTCTGCCAGACCTTCATTCTGGCAAAGCCAACCAGCATGCTCTGCCTCCAGCCATGGCAATATAAAACCGTGCCCCCTGGTGGTGGGAATTGCCACGGCTGGGCGCTCTTATCCTTGGGCTTCTGGTCAGATTCTCGCCGACTTTCGTCAGGGCTTAATACTATATCACCAGTGGTTCCTACCATTGTTTCTCCCAGATTGACACGTATCAAACGTCACGTACACCTTCATCCTGCTTGAGGTCTACTATACTGTGCTGGAGGAGACAAAGTGTGCCAGAAGTCTTATCCCTGACTCTGGGATTTTGCTTTTTTGTCAGATCCTTCTTGGCCGCCCGGACCAGGCTTGGGCTCCCTACTAGCTTCTCGACTACTGACGCCTTCGTCCCTCATTAGCTCTCGATCAGCGGCATTGGACGGCACGTTTAGGTCGAACACGGCGTGGCCAACCGGGGGGGTGGTGAGTCCCTTGCTTCAAGGAGGTTAACGAAAGGGGACCTCGACCACACAGCGGCACACCTTCACCGCGATTCGCTCTTCTCTATTCTTTCTCAGATCTTTCTTCTACTCTCTTGACGGAATTGATTTCCTTAGTCTGAAGACCGTTCGATGCTTAAGGTTTGAACCTTAAAAGTGGTGGTTGATCTCGGGTGCTTGTCATACGTCTGGGCGAGTCAAACACGGGGTTCGCTGGATATAGACTATAGACTATACAGATCACACCCTCGCAAGGAACCGACACCATGCCTCCCAGTGGCTCTTCGTTCACATCTTTGAATCTCCCATCGGCGTTTACCCTCCCGCGATGCATGGAATACTTCACTGTTACTGCGGGTCCCAATACGGATCTTTGGCGCAAACCCGGTGCCCGTGACACCGCCACCGCTCCAATCGTCTTCACCTCCCTCCGACGCCGGTTCGAGGTCGCAGAGGTGACGGTGACCGCGGACTGGGAGATGGAATGGGACCAAGGCGGGCTAGTGATCTTCGCCGGGGCGGCACCGCAGTCATCAGAGGATGGACCGGTGCACCGTGTGCCCTTGTCACCACCGCTCCCGGGGCCGTCGCCCGCTGCCGCCACTCGACTTGGAGCCACGCCCCATGCCCCGTCCTCCGCTCGCCCCGGCAAATGGGTCAAAGCCGGCATGGAGTTCTGCTCCGGGACGATGAATGTCTCCAGCGTGAGCGCCACGGTCGACGGCGCCGACTGGTGCGCCTCGCCGTTATCGTCCCCGGAGCACGGTCCTGCGACGGTGCACTCGCTGCGCATCAAGCTGGAGCGCGTCGGCCATGCCCTTTGGATCTGGTACCAGGTGCCCGCCGTCGCGGCGCCGTATGCGATGATGACGTCGGGCGCGCTGCCCAGTGGGATGTGGCGCAAGCTGCGTGAGGTGACCTGGTTCTTCTACGGGGTCGAGGACAAGTTCGTGCACGTGGGCGTGTACGCCAGTCGCCCGAACCGGCTGTCGCGCAGTGCGACGATGTGGGAGATGATGAACGGGGATGGGACGGATGGGACGGGGGCGGTGGATGGATTGGTGGTCGAGTTCGAGGATCTGGAGATTTCTTAGGTTGCCGGAGTATTCGACTTGCCCATGGTGCAGTGCATGTTTGCTGCTGCACGGATAGCATGATGGGCGTTT